TTTACCCATGTACAATTATCCTTTTTTTTTTTTTTTTTTTTTTTTTTTGAGAACACACCCGCCAGTGCTAGTGGTGCTGATAACAAAAGAGAACCTACAGTCATTCCATGCATACATGCCGAGCAAAACAACGAGGAAAATCCGAGGCAATGTACAAGAGAAGTTCAAAAAGGAAGGGCCGTGATAAAGAGATCGTTCCTATCAGAATTCAAAACCATATAGATGAACAAAGGAAATGAAAGGAACAACAAAAAAAAGCCTTATCCCACATCCATACCACTCTCTCTGTCTCTCTCTCTCTGCTCTCGTGCGGACAGTCCGTCGCCTCGCACCAACACCCATGATACCGGCAGTCCGTTGCCGCGTATCCACGCAGAGTTGTCACCCCGCTTGGTCCGCGTACACCCGTCAGGTTCACCTGTGCGCCACAGTCCGTTGTGGCCTACACGTCAACCCCGCATACTTAGCACCAGCTCGTCGGATCGCTCAACTCTCACACTCACTTACCTTCCAACTTGCTCGTTAGCCGACCCTCACTGATCGCACTAACCTCGAACTTCTTAGAGAGCAATCTAATCGCGCTTGCGAAATTTATAGCACACATGCCTGCCTGAAAGGTTCGGGATTAAGCTCAGATGGACAGGAAAAGAAGAGAGGAAGTGCCTACGTATGCATGGCCAGACCGCGGCGTGCGGGTCATAGCCACTCTCCACGCATCGACCCGGTCATGCAGCCGGTTTGGCCAATTAGAACAGTGCATGCGAGACGAGAAAGAAGAAGGAAGAAGGCGGGCAACATAGGAGAACCAAGAAAGAAGAAGCATTACAGTTACGACCGGGCCCGCCAAAAACGACACTTGCACAAGATTAAAGGCGCGATCCAGTCAGAACCCAGTTCCTTGCGCCACAAGATGCGTGCGAACACTGCGCAACAAAAATCCAGAGTACCTAAATTCCTAGTCTAAGTCCTAATTGCAGAAAGGAAATTATGGAGAAAAACAATTCCGAGAGCCCGCGGGGGCTTGACATTAGTTAAAAATTCAAAAACGAAAATTCCCGCGGGCCAATCGCACCAAAATTCTTAATGCTCACAGCAGAACAAGAAAGAAGCTATGGTACAGTTATTTCTTGCGCCCGTTATGGCGCAATCATCCAATCGTCGGCGTGGGGCTTTCCCGGCGCTGGCCCAACGAGTTCAAACAAAAACAAAAAAGAAGCGAGGATATTGCCCAACCGAACCCCGCTTACACCCGTCGCCCATCAAAGCCTTCCCGTTTTCCCACATCGGCTTCGGGCAGGAAGTCGCGCGATTACAAAAGATAGTTTGTCACATATGTGACGCCCAGGGGGTTCCAATCTTGAGCAAGCTTCTGCTTACTCGATTCTTTGACACGTGTCGACTTCTCTAATCGATCGACGACGTGGAGCTCTCTTCGTGCCACTTACCGTAGGATAAGAGTGTGGAAGTCATCCACGTGGCATTCGTGGGCACTGTCCTACAAGTTCCCGGGGAAGGGCAATCTAATCACGGACGGAGGAGGTGGTGGGTGATCTTGGGGAAGAGGGGGCATGAAGCGATAGATCTTCTGGGTTTCGAGGGCAGGGAGGGGAGTGTAGTGGATGGAACGGTGGATACAGGGGAAACGAGGGTACTCGTGTTGATGAGGAAGCGAGGCGAGGATGTCGAGATAGAAGGTGGAGATGGTGCGATGGAGGGCAGCGCGAAAATTCTCGTAGTTTTCACAGGTGGGGATCGTACCCGAGATAATACAATAAACCTCTATGTTATTGTATTCCCGCCAGTCGCGCTAAAGAGAAGGACGCGAAGAAGGAAGGAATCGACGAGGGAGCGAGTGGTAGAGTGCGGGACGATGGTGATCAGGAGACGTGTGGCGTAGAGTTGATGGAAGAGGGTGGGCTGAAAAGGACACCATCCATCGGGGAAAGGGGGTCGACCTGGGAGTTGGCGGACCATCATGTAATCATGGGGACGGCGGGATAATGACCGGGGACGAAGCCCGATCGCCCGCATCTCTACGAAGGCGAAGGGTAGGGTGGGGTGGGGAAAGGGATGGAGCCGACGATTCACTCCTCCTGCGGCGGCGGATCCCTCGGCTGCAGCTCCATCGTCTTCGGGCTCCTCGCGCGGCGTCTCCGGATTGAGCAACGGGTCTCCCAACAACAACTCCAGCGGGGGCCCTTCCTTGATCGGCCGCTTGCCTTCCGCCTTTTCCCGTCGCCTCTGCGCTTCGGCCTCTTCCCCTTCTTCACTTCGCCTGGGCCGATCGCTGGGTTCCTCGGGCTCGCTCTCTTCTTCCTCTTCACCTCGCTCTAATTCTTCCTCGGTCTCTTCTTCGCTGAGGTAGTCGGAATCATCTGGATCCGTGCACGATTCTTCTTCTTCTTCTTCTTCTTCTTCTTCTTCTTCTTCTTCTTCTTCTTCTTCTTCTTCTTCTTCTTCTTCATCGTCGTCGTCGTCGTCGTCGTCGTCGTCGTCGTCGTCGTCGTCGTCATTGGCGGCGGCACACACGCTTGCTCGTCGGATGACGGGGTCCCACAGCACAAGATCGGTGACGTTGATTTCCAGGTAGAGATCCTGGGACGGGTAAAGACAGTTGTCCACGTCCAGCTCCGTGCACGTGGACCACAACAGATGGGGCGCAAGCGTGCGGGGGAGTACGTCAGGGCCGGGCTTGCTGTCGCACCTTGATAGGATATCAAGGGGCAAATCGTCCACTAGCTGCACCAAGAACACCAATAGCTCGCTCGTGATGAGGGCGAGATTTCCCTCCTCCACCTTGCCGAATATTATGCCCAAGAGCTCTCCCTCCGTTTCCGTGCGCCAGGCCTGCACGATCAGCAGCTCCGCCTCATTATTCGGGACTTCAGTCCCTTCTCCTCCGGGCACTGGCTTGGACCAATGAAAGATCACCTCCACGAGGCAGAAGCTAAGCTCCAGATAAGCGTCCCACCAATCACTCCACTCATCCTCGTTCAGGATTGGCACACTGAGCGGCTTGATGCAGAAATAGAGGGTTGGGGCATGAGCGGACTGCCAGAAGGTGGGGAGATCGAAATAAAGGAAGATTGAAGAGAGAAAGACGAGGACGACTCATTGGGGCGGCGCAAAAGGGCGAAGCTCAAGAAGCAGAATCGGCGACGAACTGCTAGAAGAGCGGAGCTGCAGATCGATGTTGACAGATGTCACGACCGTGTCTCCTCGACGGGCTAGGAACACCGTCCACGCGACCACAATTTCTTCACCCCAAGTTCTCAAGGTCAGGAAGATGTCCGCGTGGATCGCCGAAGGTATCGCGGTGACGTCCCCGGTGAAGACGACGATAACGGAGATGTGACTGACCCCGGGTAAAGACAAGCGCTGAAAAGCCGAGATCTCAGCCAGTACACGTGTCGCTCCCGCCTGCGCAAAGCGGAACTCGGCTACCGCGTGGATCGCCGTAGTGCTAAAGAAGGCTGCAAAACGGAGAAGATCGGGGCTGAGTCGTGGCCGCTGCACTTGCCGAATTATCGTGATCCGCCCCCTCGGGGTCAGCGGCTGCGCGCTAATTACCTGCTCTGTTGAAAAGCTCATGGCGATGGAGGCGGGGACGGAGTTGCTGGCAAAGAAGGAGAGGGGGACGCTAGACAATCGTCGTCCTCTTCGTGTATCGAAGGAGGAAGCAGACGAAGGGGGAGATGGGGAAATAGGGAGGGGGCGCAGATAGGACACGTGGCGAACGATCGGACGAGCCGATCGGCTGCCTGAGACCTCAGGCGCTAGCCGCACCGTGTTCACCCTATTCAGGCCGAGCTCGACCACGCGAACTCGCCCGAAGAATTGTGGCGCTAACTTCCCTTGGCGAGCATATTTCCTCACTTGCACCATGTCCCCTAATTTGTACTGGGGTCGTGGACCCGCATTCCCATTTCGGGCCTCGTAGCTACGGACGTGTCATCCGTGGGCCAATTCAGCCATCCGCTGGCGCTTTCGGGCCAGGCGGGGAAGTGACTGTTTTATCAATTCCAAGTGTCGTTTGGCCTTGTCCCGGGCTATGGCCCTCGTAGGCCGTCGGCCAAGGGCTGATTCATCGTGAAGGCTCGGTATTGAGACACATGCCAAGCTGTTGGTACGTAATTGAAAAGGGGTAAAACCTGTAGACTCGTGGAGCGTTCCTCGGTGGACCGCCAAGATGTGATCTACGATATCGGGCCAAGGCCTAGTGTCCCGAGCCGCGATATTTCGTCGCAAAGCCGTCTTAATCACCCGATCTGCGTTTTCTACCAGCCCATTGGACTGTGACATGTGGGGTGCAGTATTACTAATGGTGACACCATGTACGACCAGGTTCCTTAAAACTTCTCCTCTAAATTCTGTCCCGTTGTCGGTTAAAATCTCCTCTGTATCCTGGTGCATCCCGAGAAAGCGGTTGACGTACCGCGCAATTTCTGTCGCCTGTCGCGTCCGGCATGGATACGCCTCGATCCATTTCGAAAAGTGATCCACGAATACCAATAAAATTGAATACTCACAGCTATTCGGTCCAGGAGGCACCACGATGTCGGTAGTATCCATGCTAACTCTTTGAAATGGTCCTTCGACTACAGTCGGGACTATTGATCTTGGTGGCCGAATCGGCGCCTTGTCAGCGACGCAAACCTGACAGTTTCGGACGATGAACTTAACATCGTCGCGAATATTGGACTAATACCATTCATTTTTATTGATCGTCGTCTCGGTGATTCGGACAGCGAAATGGGCCGCAGCCTCCTCGTGCGCCGACTTTACCCAGTCATACCTCATGAACAGGTGCGGTACAATCATTTATAGCCCACTACCGTCCGTCTTTCGTTTCTCCAACCGTCCCTCGTTCCATCGATAGTCCCGAGCCCTCTCATTAGCCCTCCTCCTATCCTCCCTAGTGAAGTCTTGGAGGGGGTTTTCTACTACAGTAGCTATCAAAGCAACATCGGTCCATACGTCAGCCGTTCTAAACCTTTGGGTCTTTTCCAGACCCTCTGACATGGCATCGAGGAACTGAGCCTCGGTCGGGATTTTGTCGGTTCAGCATAAGGGGCACAGCCAAGGCTTATTGCCGCTTTGATGCTGGATGCAGGAGTCATGGGCTCTCGACACGCATTGCCGACAATGTACCCATTCGACATACCCTTCCCCACTAGGATGCATAGGGACCGAGTAGACCCGCGAAATAGCTTTACAAAAATAACAAAATTTGTCAGGTAAAGAGAGAAGAGAGGAGGAGGAAAGAGGAGAGGGAGAGGCTCCAGAGTTACCTCCGTCACCCATTGCCACGTGCTTGCTTCTGGTCTCGTGGAAGAACTGCCACCTGTCTGTACCGAGGTCCGCTCGACGGTTCTGGTTCTTTCCACTGGATGATCTCTTCTCCTTTGGCGACCTTCGTTGGTCGATGCAATCGCGTCAACCTGTCCGCGTTCCCGTGCCTCTCCGTCTTCCGATGGATGATATCAAAATCGTATTCTTGTAGCCGTACCGCCCAACGTCCAATCATACCCATATAGTGAGTAAGCCTTTTGAGGGCCAATAGCGGCTCGTGGTCGGTGACGAGGAGGAAATTCTGCCCGTAAAGATACGAATGAAAATGCGGGATTCCCCAAACCACTGAGTAGCATTCTCCCTGGGGAGCTAAATTATTCCTTCGCTCGTCCGGCACGGTATAGGATGCGTATTCGATGACGTGTGCACGACCATCGTTCCCCTTCTGCGCTAGAATAGCGAAAATAGCATCGGGTTGCCAATCCGTGATGAGAATGAACTGCTTTGTTGGGTCCGGTCGGATCAAAATAAGTGTTGTGGCCAAGGCTTCCTTGAGAGTGATAAAGGTCCGTTCGCACTCCGCGTCCCAGCTGAGAGACTGGTCCTTTTGTAGCAAGTTCGTTAGAGGCCGTGCGATAGCAGAGAATCCCTTGATAAATCGACGGTAATACTACGCAAGTCCCAGGAAGGCTCGAACCTGCGTCAGCGACGTGGGAATTGGAGGGTCTCTGACAGCCGCGACTTTTCTCGAATCGGGCCTCAAGCCTCCCCGTGTTACCACGTAGCCCAAAAACGAGATTTCCGAAAGGAAGAACTCGCTTTTCTCCAGCGCAATCTTGAATTCGGCGTCTCTCAGTACTCCCAGCGTCCATCGATGTGCTATGTATGCTCGTGGTACGATTCCGAGTAGACCAGGATGTTGCCCATATACACAATCACACAGAAATTAATCATCCCATGTGTTTACGTCACGTTCCGGGGAAGGGGATATACATCTTTGATTGTGATATCATTCAACTTACGATAATCGATGCAGATGCTGACTAGCCCATTCTTCTTAGGCACTAATACGACCGGGAACGACCATGGCCCAGTGGCCGGTTCAATCCATCCGTTAGCTTCGAATTCCCTAATCCTTTGTAGAGTTGTCTTTCGTTCCGCGAGGGAGTATCGATATGGTTTGCAGTGGATTGGAGGGCGATTTCCAGTCTGGATTTCATGTTGGATCACTAGTGATAGTCCGATATCGGTGTCGGTTACACTAATCGCTTCCTGATATTCTTTTAGAATGTCCGCGATTAGGTGATGAGTTTCGTCGGGCACGTAATGTGGTACGTGTAGTTTGTACAACTGTCCCAACAGTTGGATAGTGATTGATTTGGTATTAATCCGTGCAACGCTTCCGGAAGGGGGTGCAGAGATAAATGAATTGTCTGATCGCTAGGAGAACACCGTAACCATCATCTGCGCATCTTCTTCGCGGATTGCCACGTGTTCTTCCGGAGTGACGCCATCATGGATATCCTGCCAAGGTACGGGTTTCTCCACGATCTTGATTCCGAGGTCGTTGGTTTGAACTTCGGGACGCCCAGGGGGTTCCAAAGAGTCGACCTCAGCCCCTACGCGGAGCAATCTTACCTCTTTTCGTGGTGGTCACAAGGAACGAGGTAAGTCCGTCATTGTATCTTACAAGCAGTGGAGTGGTGCCCTCGTACAAGGTCCAAGGGGGTTCCAAAGAGTCGGTCATCCAGGAAATTTGCACAAGCGGTTCACCTAACATTAATGCGCGTGTTCTCTGGATGTTTTCTTTTATGAGTTTGAACGTTTTCGTGGTGGTTTGTCGAATCGGATAGCGGACGCGTTGCTGCACTAACTCCCGAATTACTAACTTGCTTCGTCGCTATCATCGGTGTCACTTGAGAAGTTTGGCTCCTCTGTTTGGTGATCACTTCGTTCCTCAAGTTTCTTCCAAGTGATCATTCGGAGAGTTCCTCCGGGCATTGAAAGAGTTTTCTTGGTTGCTTCTGTCACCATTCTGAGAGTCAATCTCATAAGGATGGCGTAGGGTTTCCCTCTCGTATTTCGAAGGACAATCGATCGTTTTTCAAAGTCTAGGTTGGCTCGCAGCGCCGTCAGGTCGAAGGTACTTACGTCTAACACTACGACATCTCCCAGGGCATGCACCTTTCCTAACCGAAAAACAACGTTCGTCATTCGCCATACTGTTTTATTTTTTTTTTCGTCTGCAGAAACGAGATGATCTTTCTCTGCCAGCATGATCATGTTTTTTCTTTTTCCCGCTCTTTCTACTACTCGTAGCGAGATAGCCAAGACGACGACTCCTGAATCGATGATGGTATTATACGGAATTCCCCATACTTCGATGTCGCATTCGGCGAATTTCCACGGGATTGCTTTGATCCGCAGGAAGTGATTGTCCTTCCGTATTAGTCCCAATCGGATAGGTTCCGATGTGTTGGCATGGTTCGGAATGTTTTCTTGGGCCGGGCCTTTTCCCTTCGTGTTCGTCGTTCTCGCAATAACGAATCGTTTTCTGTTCGCCTTGTAATGTTGCAACATGCGTTCGTTATCCTGTTCTGAGATGGACAACAGGTGTCCGATCGGGAGGGGAATGCGATGATCCAGAGCACGGACGACGTTCAGAACATCTATTTCCCCCGTGACGAAGGTGGATCCTCCGGATTTCATTTCTCCTGGAGAGGGTCTCCATTCCGCCACTTCCCGCTGTTCCTGGGCGGGTCTAATAGTCCCGATCATTCCCAACCCCGGATATCCTAATGTCACGTACTGGTCTAGAGGAATAAGCTCTGCAGCTTCTTCCATTGTGGCTAACATACGTCCTCCTCCTTCCATTTCTTCCAACATCGCTCCTACCCTTCCTTGTCCATTGGTGATCGGTGCCGCAACTGCTGGGGCGGCTCCAACTCGCGGTTGCACGGGTCGGTGGGGGCAATCCCGGGGTATATGCCCTGGTCAGTGGCACGTGTAACAGACGTTCAGATTGCCAGCAACACCTCCGGTTGTGGGAGCAGGGGCTAATCCTTGTTGTATTGGGGCAGCTCGTATAGATATGGGACGCATCGATCTCATCATCGATTCTATTCGGGCATTTTATTCATGCTGCTCCTTCTTGCTTTCATGAATCAAGTTGATCAAGGTTTTGGTTGGTTTTAGTATAGCAGTTGATTCGCTCGATTGTGCAGGGTTTTCCACCGGTGGTGGAGGCGTCCTAATCACGGAGATAGGCATTCCCGCTATCACACTAGGAGCCATTCGTTTAGGTGTGATCTGTTCCAAATAAGTGACGGTACCGGACACGAACCCCATACTTTCGAACTTGTTTTGCAGTGTGGCTAGCTCGGCCTTGGCCCTAGACAATTCCGACGAATCCCCTTCTCTGGGGTAATCTTCTCCTTCTAGGAAACTCGCGGCGAACTTTCATTCCATTTCTTCCACGGCGGCCATAATCTGTTTCAGCATATGATTGATGGGGGAGAACTGTTTACGCAGCTTCGCCCTCATTGTCCTGTTGTGGAGTCCATTGATAAATAAGTCTCTTCCTACCTGCTCCCCTCGCTCAGTTTTCACGAACATTCGATAGAATCTATTGCGATATTCCGTGACAGATTCGAAAGGCTTTTGAACACGATCTTTAATCATGAAGAGAGCCTGTTCAAGATGGATATAATCAAATCGATTAAAAAAGTCCTGCTCGAATGTCGGGAGATCGATCCAAACATAGGTACTAAACCAGTGATATGCGTCTCCTTCCAATCGGGCGGGGATGTTAATCAGTGCTTTGTCATTGTCGTACTGTTGTGCCCGGAGCGTTGCCAACCATGCTCCGGCGAGATGATGTGCCAGGTCAAAAAGGTAGAGATCAGGTGGGGCCACAGAGGCCCGTGCTCATGGCGCAGGCGCCGACTGAGCCTGATTGGGATTTTGTTGATTGGCATTCATGTTGGTCGCCTGTCGAGCACCCGACCTATTTCTTGTGACTATAGGATCGCGTCCCGGCGCGTTCCGTGATCGGGGGCGTACTCTGTTAGGCAGGTCGCTCTACACTAATCACCCACATGTCCAACCTAGAGCCAGCCATGTGTCGGCTCCGATACCAACCTCACGCCCAACGCGACTTCCTGATCGAAGTGGGATGGGGGCTAGGAAGTGCGAAAAGGGGTTGTGTAACGGTTTGAACGCCGTGAACACGCGTTCACGTTCAAATGTGCGTTTGAACGCGGATTGCGCGTTTGCGTTCAAAATTGAACGGCGTTCAATTATTTTTTTATTTTTTTATTTAAAAAAAATATTTTTTAATGCCTACAAATAACTTTTTTTTTCTGATTGTTTTTTTATGAGTTATGTATGATGTGAGCTACATGCATCTCAATTTTGGAGTCATTTTGCTAAGGCCAAAAAAAATGAAAAATCGCCAAAGATGGCGGTGTAAAATCGTGTTTGCTCACTAATTTCAATTATTTTTTTACTTTTTTTTATTTTCTGTTTTCTATTTTTTTTTTCCAATTTGGTAACGAATTTAGATGTAATGCTCAGGCAAATGTTGTTTATTTTATTTTTCGGAATTTTTTGAGTTTTCGGAATTTTTTGTGGTTTTTTTTTTTTTTTTTCCCCCCCCCCCGCACGGAATTGAACTCCACGTTCGGTCCCGTTCATTGAACGCGCGTGCATTCCGTTCAATTTCTGAACGGAAAACCCGCGTTCAATGAACGCGCGGTTTCATAGAAAAGGGGTGTGCGAAGGATTTTAGGAAAGTGGGGGTGCAGTCCCAGGTCGGAACTGAGATCTCCTGTGGAAAGTTTCAGGGGTACAGGTGTAAAAGAAAGGGGCGTACTTAAAAGGGAAGTTGCTGATGTCGTGCAGCATAAGGCAGATGGCATGCGTAGTGCATTTCAGACTACAATTTGGGGACTCTGAACACTCTTGCATTCTCGAACAAAATCCCAACAACATTGCCCCTGCCAATAGGCTTAGTTTTTACGGCCGAAAGGAAGGACGAATCACCATCGCTGCTGATTTCGTCTTTGGGGTTGGTCGCGCAGCTCGGCCAGTTGTCGGCGCTGCTCGTAACAGGCTTCGGATTCCGCCGAGGCGCGTCGTGAGTGGAGGCCTTGCAACCGCGGCTCGTCCTCGGATCGAGTCTGTTGGGTAGTTCCCGAAGCTCGGCGCGCCCGGTGATACCGACAATCCTCGCACGGTGGGCTGGTTCAGTAGCGTGCTATAGCATTCCACGGTACCACTGTGAGTTGGTGATTTGGGAGGAGGAGATGGAAGGGAGGGAAGCTGGTAGTAATAACGACGAAGCCGAGAGATATGAAATATTGCGTGTTATAAGTTTCCGGGTAGTCGGGGCACCTTGGGTCGCTCGCTATGGCACACAGAAAATCCCTTGCGCATAATCGATCGTTTTCAGTTACTAGGTAAGGGAATTCCGGATTTCTTAAATTTCCCCGCCGTCTGAGTTGTTCGTCTTCCCAATACTCACGATATTCCGGGTCCCTTTGATTCTCGTAATCGGACGCCAGAAAGGAGATCTTGCAACCATGTCTGTCTAAGACGACGTATCCCCCACATCCTTGCACGAGGTTAAGGCTGACTTATGCGGGCGAGTGAGTACGTGGCGACTCGACTCTCTCGAGATCGCGAACATACGCACGCGTGTACGTAAGGGATAACCGATTGGTTCTGCGTGCTGGTTGAACACCCTCAAGCATAAATATCCTACTGACGCAAAAAGGAGGGAAGAGGGGATGATCGACAACTAGACTTCAGAGCATTCCTAATCAGGCATGATCAAATGACTCATGTAGGCGAATACTGGTCAGAGACAACACAGGCATCGCAAAACAGATCGAGAAGATTGCTTAACAAAAGAGAACCTATAGTTATTCCATGCATACATGCCGAGCAAAACAACAAAGAAAATCTGAGACAATGTACAAGAGAAGTTCAAAAAGGAAGGGCCGTGATAAAGAGATCGGCCCTATCAGAATTCAAAATTATATAGATGAACAAAAGAAATGAAAGGAACAACAAAAAGAAGCCTTATCCCACACCCATACCACTCTCTCTCTCTCTCTCTCTGCTCTCGTGTGGGCAGTTCGTCACCTTGCATCAACACCCACGATACCGGCAGTTCGTCGTCGCGTATCCACGCAGAGTTGTCACCCCGCTTGGTCCGCGTACACTCGTCAGGTTCGCCTGTGCGCCACAGTCCGTTGTGGTCTACACAACAGAAAAATTCCCACGAGAAATGAAAGTTGAAAAACATTCCATAAAAAAAAATCCTTATATTTATAAATTTATCATTCCAATTTCGTTAAATTCTAAAATTTGCAATTTTATTTGATATGTTCCAGTCTAAATATGAGTTTTTCCTTCCAACTACATCTACTTGTTCAATATGGAATGGAAGTCTGGACGAGTTTATGAAATGCTTTAATTAAATTTTCATTCTACTATAACAAATATCTTCTAATTTATATTTGATTAACCTATTTATGACTGAAAATCCTTACTTAGAATGACAATCCAATTAAAATATTTCATGAACTGATCCAAACTTTCATTTCATCTCTAGCATGCAGTCAAAATAAGAAAGGATACCCCATTCTTGAAATGAAAGTTTGCAAGTAAGATAAAAAATAAATAAATTGGAATGACATTTTTTAAGATGGAATGAAAATTAAAAATTTAGAATGTAATTTTACTATAGAATGATTATTTAATTCTGACATTTTTTTCCGTTGCACGTCGAACTCGCATACTTGGCACCAGCTCGTCGGATCGCCCAACTCTCACACTCGCTTACCTTGCAACTTGCTCGTTAGCCGACCCTCACTGATCGCGCTAACCTTGAAATTCTTAGAGAGCAATCTAATCGCGCTTGCAAAATTTATAGCATGCATGCCTGCGCGAAAGGTTCAAGATTAAGCCCAGATGGACAGAAAAAGAAGAGAGGAAGTGCCTACGTCCGCATGGTCAGGCCGCGGCGTGGGGGTCGACGGGTCGTAGCCACTCTCCACGCATCGACCCGGTCATGCAGGCGCTTCGGCCAATTAGAATAGAGCATGCGAGACGAGAAAGAAGAAGGAAGAAGGCGGGCAACATAGGAGAATCAAGAAAATTAAAAGAAGAAGGATTATAGTTACGATCGCACCCGCCAAAAACGACAGTTGCACAAGATTAAAGGTGCGATACAGTCAGAACCTAGTTCCTTGCGCCACAAGATGCGTGTGAACGCTGCGCAACAAAAATCCATAGTACCTAAATTCCTAGTCTAATTCCTAATTGCAGAAAGGAAATTATGGAGAAAAACAAAGCCCGCGGGGGATCGACATCAGTTAAAAATTCAAAAACGAAAATTTCCGCGCGCCAATCGCGCCAAAATTCCTAGTGCTCACAACAGAACAAGAAAGAAGCTATGGTACAGTTATTTCTTGCGCCCGTCATGGCGCAGTCATCCAATCGTCGACGCGGGGCTTTCCCGGCGCTGGCCCAACGAGTTCAAACAAAAACGAAAAAGAAGCGAGGATATCCATGCAATTTGCCCAACCGAACCCCACTTACGTCCGTCGCCCATCAAAGCCTTCCCATTTTCCCACATCGGCCTCGCGCAGGAAGTCGCGCGATTACAGAAGATAGTCGTCACAACGAGGCATCTTGTGGAGCTTTTGGGGACCTGCTTTGAAGTAAGGGGCCAGGGGCATCAAATGATTCTTTACAAGGACAGAGGGGGGGAGGAAATAGGGCTGCTCGATTGGCGTCAGGTAGTTTAAGGTGGCTGATGGGTACCAGCTGATGAGAGTGAACTCTGGCGTGATTGGCGTTGGGTAGTGCTAGTTCACCACCTCGACGACGGAGACTGGGATTCTTG